CTCCCTGCTGACCGCCAGCGGCAGCGCCTCGGTGAGCGGGGGGCTGGCACAGCGTCTGGGGGGGCTGGCACAGCGTCTGGGGGAGCTGGCACAGCGTCTGGGGGGGCTGGTACAGCGTCTTGGGGGGGCCCTCCCTGCATCTGCCTCTCCACAGAAGATGTGAGCCCTCAAAACTAAGAACGTGTCTCTTGCATCTGCTGGAAACTCGGTTGTTTAGTTTTCCCGTGCTCAGCTGAAACAGTCTTATCTCAAAACAAGCTTTCTCTGGTTTTCTTTCTTAGACTAGCACAGCCACAGTGCCCATCTCCTCCCACGTGCTCCTAGCCTTTCCTGGCACTGTCCCACACTGACTTGGCTTCTGAATTTTTCAGACTCCAGCACCAAGCAGAACAGCCTCCTTCTCAGAGTCCAAAGCAGATGACATTGCTCCAGCCAAGAAGGCAAAGCCAACAGCACCTCTTGGTAAGTCCAGCACTTCTCCAGCAGTTCTCTTCTCCTCCAAAAGAGAGACTGTGGACTAGACTAATTCTTTCTTTGCCACCTGAGCCTGAAGTGTGTTTGTGCTGGGATAAGCAAAAACTTTCTAGATGGCAAATGCAAAATGTGATGTCCAGCTGTTTGGAAAGGAAGTACCATGGAGAGTGCTCCAGTTTGCTTGTTTTTTAACAAGAGCAAAACCCAGAAGGGCCAAGTGCTGTGGGGAGGAGGGGGCACAGCCCCCAGCTGCTGGGCTGGCAGCAGCCAGCTCTGGTATCACTGCATCAGTGGTTCTCTCTTTGACAGATTCAGTCCCAGCCTCAAGACCTGGCTCAGGTAGGACACGTGTGACTAGCTGAATGTGCCTGGCCTTGCTGGCAACTGACTTTTTTTAGTTCTTGGTTTTGTTGGTCTTTTTTCTCTCAAAGTTTGCAGTGTTGTCTGGTCCTTCCCTCTCACCCAGCATATTTAACTATCACCACAGGATCTTCTCATCTGTGTTTTCAAGTGCAGATCACATTCTCCTTTGCACAGAAGCTTATTTCCAGGGGAGAGAGGGACAGGCCTCAAACTTACATTTTTCTACGTTCCCCCAATCATTATAGAGAAAACTAGACCTAGGCAGACAGTGAATACTCTGTTCTCTTTGCTTTCAAAAAGAAGGAGCTAACCAGACCTGATCATGGGTGTTTTGTTTCAGAGGGAAACAGGATAGTGCAGGTGCTCCTGAGCTTTGAAGGGCACAAAGTCAATGAATTAATTAAATGTTCTTGTTGCCTTTATCAGTTCAGCAAACCATTGAAGCTTGTGCTCAATGAAGTTATGGGGACTGTAAGCACTCTCTTGAGCTCTGTGCTGGATGAGAATAAACTGCTGAATCGAGGTTCAAGTAGAGTTTCAAGTCATCTCCCCTTCATTAGAGGAGCAACGCGAGAAGTGGACTCGGGTTCTTCCTAGTGTGATCTCAGACAAACAGCATCACCTTTCTGGCCCTGCATTTTACTATTTCTATGAATGCTAATATTTTACCCCCTTGCAAGACAGAATTTTTCAGGTTAGGCAATTTCCCAGTAACAAGTCGTGTGTTGGTGCATCTAGACTGTGAACACTGTTGGAGAACAGCAACTGATTTGTTAGAGCCAGAATGACAGTGTCCTGGTTAGTCCCTAGTGCTGTTTACCTTGGATTCAAAGCCAAAAAGAATTAGCTGTAGCCTGAGATGGGATCAGCAGTTGGATCAGCTCTAAGTTCTCAAGAGTTTTAAAATTTTCTCTGCCTGGAGCCAAAAGAGAGGAGCTCAGTGTTCTGCTGTGACAAGTGGTGTAAATACACATTAATCAAACAGTCCATCCTCAGTAGCTGAACTGTTGTCTTTCCTGTGACTCTGTTCCTGAAGCCAAGTTTTAGGCCATATAGAAATTCTTGGAGCCATCAGGTTTGTGTTGGATTCTGATAATAAAAAAAACAACCTGAAAACAAAAGCTGAGTATTTAGGAGCTCCTTTGCTTTCTTTGTCCTTTTCATTTCCTGCTTTTCCTTTTATTTCCTCACACCCAGCTCTGGCGCCCTGACAGACACAGGAGCAAACCTCCTGTGCCTCTCCCAGATTAGGCCATACACAAATACTTAAAAGTTTCCTTCCTCTTCAGCTTTGCAGAATAAAACTGTCTGGGAGGAACAGGAACGGCCCATGTGAGAAGAGGAAGAGGCAGTTTTCACTTATCTCTCTTCTACACCAGTTCCCCCAATAATTAAGTACATGCCCATGTTGTGAAGCCCAAAACCTGGCTCTTGAGTTCAGAATCCTGGGAAGAGGGATGCTGCTTCATCTACAGTTTCGTCCTTAATTTGGACAGTGTGGCTACTGCACCCTGTTGGGTTCAGTTTGGATGAGGGGAATATGCTCATCTGGGAGACTTTGAGCAGACATTGGCCAAGTTGCAGCTTTTGTCTTGCACGGATGCACGTTTTGAAGGTGTGTTGGTTTTCTCCCCCCTCTCTCTGAGCAGGTAAAGCTACCACCCTGTTCAGCCGTCACACCAAGGCCATCATCTGGGGGATGCAGACTCGGGCTGTGCAGGGAATGCTGGACTTTGATTACATTTGCTCCCGGGATGAGCCCTCAGTAGCTGCCATGGTTTATCCCTTCACGTAAGTAGCCTGTGGGGACTCCATGATTTTTCTGATTGCTTCCCTCAGATTCTCCTGTTGGCTTCCTCCTCTGCCAGTCCCTGCTGCTCTTCACTGTAGCTCCTTCCTGGCCTACATCTCTGCTCTAACACCTTCTCCTGTGCTCCTGCTATCAGTTTGGCTTTGCAGACCTGCTATTTCCCTCAACCCTTGGTTCTGGGCTGCTCTGGAGCAGCTCAGTGTTAGCCATAGGATTTAAGTCCCACTTCATTCTCTTTCAAAAGGTCTCAAAATTCTGTTTCTGGCTCAGCAAGTGAGGAGGGCAGGACTAGTTGGACTGTCATTAACAGCCCCCTGAGTAGAGGCAGGAAGGCTGTGTGAGGTTTCCTCCACTCATCTGTTTGCTGCACTGAGACACCTTGATCTGTGCTTGTGGCAGCTGGAATTGTCCCCTTCAAACATTAGTCAGAATCAGAGCAGCTCTGCTAATAAACTAAAGCAGGTCTGCCATGTAGCCGAGCAAAATAAAATAAAAATAAATCCTGTCCATTCTCCTCATGGCAGTAGCTTCTTGGCAGGAAGTGTGTGGATCCTTCAGTGGGATGCAGTTCTCCAGAGGTGTTCTCCCTCTCATACCTTATCCCTGCAGCTGATGTGGATGAGAGGGGCTATTGTGATTTCAGACTGCCCTTGGAGGGGCCTCCAGAGCATACCTGGGCACAAGCTGCTGGGTAACTGTACCCCAGGAACAGGGAACCTCCCTGTCAAATGGGACAAGCAGTGAGAAGCAGAGCAGAGTCTGCCTGGGCTGTGAGATGGGAGGAGGTTTGTTCATGTCTGTGCTATTTCCAGACATCCAGAATAACTGATATCTAATCAAACTCTGTCCTGCAGAGAATAGGCAGCCTATAATTATCTGATTCTTGTTGACCTTTTGGAGGAAGCCAGGCTGGCAAAACCTGGGATGTTCTGTTACAGGTGACCAGCATGGAAACACAGCCAATGTCTCTAGGGTCTTACAAGGTTGCACAGATGCTCCAGTTCTAACTGGAGGTTCTATCGTGTGCAAAAGCCTCCAGTGAAACCTCCCTCCAACCAGTGTGGGGTGGGCAGAGTCTCACTGTAGCAGAACTGGAAAGCTGACTGGCACTCACATTGCTCTCCTGGCTGTTCACCACAGTAACTGGTTTCCTGTTCCCCCACTCCAGGATTTGTTCCAGCCCAGTAATGCAGCTTTGCATGCATCTCATTCATTACTCTTTCTGTGCCTCATTCTGTCTTCCAGCTTGGAGTAGAATTGAGGCTCTGGTAACTTCAGTGTGGGAGAGCTCACTCATCCTGCTGGATGCCTCTGTCCCCATTAGCTCGTCTCCTTCCATATGCTGCTCTGTTCTATACTCTGAAGATCCTCCTGCTGTTAGTATGGTCCCTCCCCATGTGCACTCACTTCCTAGTGAGTCTCACAGTCAGTCTTGGTGTCTGAGAACTGGGGTTTGTAAACTCCTCTGTCTGCATGCACTGTACCCCTTGGTCTTTCCAGCAGCCTTTAGACTCAGGACTCTTTCATCTTCTCCTCTGTAGTGGTGACCACAGGCAGAAGTTCTACTGGGGCCACAAGGAAATCCTGATCCCAGTCTACAAGAATATGTCAGATGCCATGAGGAAGCACCCAGAGGTGGATGTTCTCATCAACTTCGCGTCTCTGCGCTCTGCTTATGACAGCTCTGTGGAAACCATGAGCTACCCACAGGTGAGTGAGGGGTTGAGAACTGCAAGAAAAGAAGGAAGCTCTTGTCAGCAGGTGTCTGCTAAAGCATGATGGCATTAGCAAATTGGCTTTGTCTTCCAACTTTGCAGATAAATACCTCAATTCTGCCTCCTTGTAGGCTGTAAGGAGGGTCCTGGAGTTGCACAGCAAATTCTAATGCTGGCCTTGCAGTCTGTGTAGAGGAGCTCAGCACCTCTTGGTTAGGAGTGTTTCTTGGGGTTGGATAAGACACAGGGCTGCTCTGATGTGCAAGGGGAGGCCTGAACAGTGCTCTGAACATGCTCTGAACAGTGCACTGAGGCTGCTGTGAAGGTCACAGGAGATGGATCCTTGCACTGGGCCTTCCTGTGTGAGTCCCCAGCACGGCCTCCCAGGTTGTGCCCTGTGGGCAGCTGCCCACTCCTCTGCCCTGCAGAGCTCCTTGGGGTGACAACAGGGGGGAACTAATGGGCTTTTTTCCCGGATGCAGATCCGCACCATTGCCATTATTGCTGAGGGCATTCCAGAGGCCCTGACACGCAAGCTGATCAAGGCAGCTGATAAAAAAGGAGTCACGATCATTGGGCCTGCAACTGTAAGAGCTGGTGACCTTTTTCTCCTCTTGTCCCTCTGTCTTTATCTTCAGATCAGCTTTCTCTGAAAGATACAGTACCTACTACAATCCATTTTGTCTCTAGTCATATCAAGTGCATGTTGGTTTCTCATTTTGAGGTCACTTGACTGTCCTCTATGTAAGTCCTAACAAGGCTCTTAGAGCAGAGTTCTTAAGTTTCATGTATATTTTAAAGGGCTTCACATCTTTCTCTAATTTTCTTCCAGGTTGGTGGGATCAAACCAGGTTGCTTTAAAATAGGCAACACAGGAGGCATGTTGGATAACATCCTGGCATCCAAGCTGTACCGCCCAGGCAGCGTGGCCTACGTCTCCCGCTCGGGGGGAATGTCCAACGAGCTCAACAACATCATCTCCAGAACCACTGATGGGGTCTACGAGGGGGTGGCCATTGGAGGGGACAGGTAGGAGCCTGAATCTTCATCAGACACTGATTTGTAGGTCAGTTAGCAGAAGATTCGTTAGTATATTCTTCCTCCAGGAGTATAGTCCTCCTGGAGGAGGAGGGGCAGGTTGGCTGTTAATTTTTCTTTTTTTTGTAAAAGTTTATGAAACAAATTCAACACCTGCTGTTTCTTCTCTGTTCTCCCCAGATATCCTGGCTCAACTTTCATGGATCACGTCTTGCGTTATCAGGATACTCCAGGAGTGAAAATGATTGTAGTGCTTGGAGAGGTGAGACCAGTTCACTCCTATCTGAGAAATATCCAAGTTTGGGGGGGGGGTTTTTGGGAGCATCTGGCCTGGCTGCAAAGATGCTCAAGAGAGGGGCAGCTGTTCTTGCTGTTCTTGAATGATTGAGTTTTTATTTCATGCTTCTTTAAGCAAAAGAAACTGAGTGTATTCCACAGTCAAGCATCATAGTCTCCCCTACTTAAAAAAAAAAAAACACAACAAAAAAGCACCAAGCAAACACAAAAACCCCACAACCAAAAAACACAACAAAAAAAGTACAAATAAGAAGGCTTTGTTCTGAGATTTGAGCTGTTACTCCATGAAAAAGAAGGAAAAACAAATCCCAATAATGCTTCCATGTGCAACTCAGAGCTGGTTTCTACAAAAGTGCAAAGTTTTGAACTAGCTCAGCTCTTTCTTCCTGCAGATTGGAGGCACAGAAGAGTACAAGATCTGTAGGGGTATTAAAGAAGGTCGTATCACCAAGCCAGTTGTGTGTTGGTGCATTGGTACTTGTGCCACCATGTTCTCTTCAGAGGTATGTGAAAAATGGGGGCAAATGCATGAAGTAAATACATATTTGTGACAGGAAGAAAAAAAGCCAACTTCTCTCCCTGTGCCTAAACTTTCCAGAACTGCCAGTAGTAACTTAAACTGCAGAAGTTAATAAATACAAAGGGTAAAAGTTTTTTGTGGTTCTGTTGTCTGCCACTGGAGATGCAGAAGGGATCCTGCACAGCTGTGAAGGGAGCCCAAAGATCCCAGGGAAGAGAACAGATTGTTGTAGCCACCTGCTTCTGGAGTGGGAATAGGGAAGATCTGTGCAGCTCTGGAGAGTGGGGGAATTTAGGGAGGCAGAACATCAATGGAAGAACCTGGAGTAGTTCCAGATGAGAAAATGCCCTGAGTGCTGCAGTTCTGATTACCACTGCCCAAAAAAGAAGGCACATGTGCAGTCACTGGTACTGCTCTGACACCAGTTTCCTGGGCAGTGTTTTGTTCTGTTTTACTCTGCACAGGTGAAATGCTTGTGTTCCTGATCCTGTCTCTCCTCCTGTGTGCAGGTTCAGTTTGGCCATGCAGGAGCTTGTGCCAACCAGGCTTCTGAAACGGCTGTTGCCAAGAATCAGGCCTTGAAGGAAGCGGGTGTGTTTGTTCCCCGGAGTTTTGATGAGCTGGGAGAGGTCATTCAGTAAGTGGCATTAGCAGGGCACCTTCAGCAGGGGACAGAAACTGTTTGGGCACTCATTCTAGCCTGATAAATTAATATATTCCTGCTTAAGGAAAGCAACTTCTGTTCATTCTGGGTTTTTAAGGTCTAGATTAAGACCCATCTCACTTGTATTTCTTAGAAGGACTTAGGTTAATAAATGAATTCTCTCCCTAGGTCAGTCTACCAAGATCTTGTGGCCAAAAGAGTGATTGAACCAGCTGAGGAAGTGCCTCCTCCAACTGTGCCAATGGATTACTCCTGGGCAAGGGTGAGCTGTGCTGTTTTACCTGCTTTTTGGCTCCTTAGAAACCAGACAGGATGTCTGCTCTGATCCTGGATACTTGTGCTGGTAATAGTGTTGCCTTGGGGGTTTGTCTCTCACTCTGGTGTTACCTGTCAGCTCTCTGGCTGTGCTGGCCCTAGGCTGTGGCAGCTGCTTTGAGGACAAGCTTAAGGTGTTGTTGTTTGGCCACTCGGCCTCCTACTGCCCCAGCTTCCAACGTGGAATGTTTCAAATCACATCTTCATGCTGTGATTTCAGGAGCTGGGACTGATCCGCAAACCGGCTTCCTTCATGACGAGCATCTGTGATGAGAGGGGTCAGGAGCTGATCTATGCTGGGATGCCCATCACTGAGGTCTTCAAAGAAGAGATGGGAATTGGAGGGGTTCTGGGCTTGCTCTGGTTTCAAAGGAGGTGAGGCAGCTTTTTCTGAAAAGCTCCCAAATTCCTTGGCTTGGAGTTTGGCTTGTTCATTGATAGACTTAAGCACAAAAGAAACTCCAGGATTCCTTTGTGAATGAAGATCAGTTGGAAATGCCATCTCTGTAGCCCCTCCTCTGAGACCACATCACATTTCAGGGCTTCATACAGTGTGTTTTCGTCTTGGGATGAAGTTTCCACGTTTTGTGGTGCATTGAGGAAACGTCTCTAATCTAGGCCTGTTTCACACTACTTATAATTGTCAGCTCAACTCTGGGGAGTTTAGATGTATTTGCTGACCAGCTTACAGGGATGGCAGAAGCTTTCTGCCTTCCTCTGCTCCTGCTTTCACTAGAGGCAGTCCTGGCACTAGCTGGGGACTCTGGCTCAGCAGAACAGGATGAGCAGAATTTTCCTGAAGGGGTCCCAGGGAGCTCACTGCTCAGCCTCCTGAGTGTGTGCAAACTCGGTGTCCAAAACCCACCCTCTGCTCTGAGCTGAACAGCTCCTGTGGAGACTGAATAAAGCCCTGACCTCTGGGAAGGACACCAGGAGGCACCCATGAGTGTTGTGACCCTACAGCTCCTTTCTCTGCTCTGCTTCTTTCAAGCATACACCTAAACCAAAAGTCACTGTCCAGTGTAACACCAAGTGTCCTGTTGCTCAGTTGTCTTTACAACAAATTACTTTAATCTCTGTGGGAAACTCTTCTTCTTCCCCACGTAAGTCCAAACAAAATGCCTTTTAACCTTGCCAGGTTGCCCAGGTATGCCTGCCAGTTCATCGAGATGTGCCTGATGGTCACAGCAGACCACGGGCCAGCTGTGTCTGGAGCCCACAACACCATCGTCTGTGCCAGGGCTGGCAAGGACCTTGTCTCCAGTCTCACTTCAGGCCTTCTGACTATTGTAAGTACTTAATCTCCAGCAGATTCAGCTCTGCTGCTCATTACTCTGCCCAGGTTTTATTACTGTAAGTGAAGGTTTATATTGGCTGCACAGCCATGGACAGGTTGGATCTGTTCAGTTGTACTTTGTTGAATTCAAGTCTAAGAGCTTGTTGCTCCAGGTTTGAAACCCAGTCCCCTTTTCTGGTAAGCAAGACTATTTTGATGTCACTCATTTGTCAAACATTTTGTAGAGGCCAGAGTGCTGTCAGCATTGTCCCCTACATGGGGCAAGACCTTACAGGGGTGCCTTGTTTCTTCCAACATTGACAAGTAAAAATGTGAATAAAACAGACTTTGGGTTGTATTTCCCCCCTCACTGTCTCTAGTGCAGATGTGGTGGCTGCATATTGACACTTTGGTTGAGTTACAAATATATCCCGGGTGCCTGCCTGACTTTAACTTCAGATATGGCACATTGAGAGAGCAGATGGGGAAGGGAAACTTGTGCCTGTTTGGTTCATGAGCTGTGGAGTCCTTTGCTGTAATTCCCTTGTGTTTTGCACCCAGGGTGACCGGTTTGGCGGAGCACTCGATGCTGCAGCAAAGATGTTCAGCAAAGCCTTTGACAGTGGGATTATCCCTATGGAGTTTGTGAATAAGATGAAGAAAGAAGGGAAACTGATCATGGGCATTGGACACAGAGTCAAATCAGTAAGGAAGCTTCATTAGTATAAACTATGGGGTTGGGTTTTTGGAGGGGTGAAGGATGGGGGAGAAAAAAAACTTACAAATCCTAAACCTACAAATACTAAATTCCCTGTGTAAGAGGCAACTTTGTGACCGTAATGTGTTCTCAACTTGCAGATAAATAACCCAGACATGAGAGTTCAGATACTCAAAGACTACGTGAAGCAGCATTTCCCTGCCACCCCACTGCTGGACTATGCACTTGAAGTAGAGAAAATTACAACTTCCAAGGTGAAATGTGCTAATATATCTCTCCTCTTGAGCCCTTTTTCTTACTAGGGAGCAAGTGACACGGTGCTAATCCTGTATTTTATTTGCAATGCTTCATAAATTGTTGCTTGGGTTTTGTTTTCCTGTGGTGGACTTTGGGCCAAGTACAACTACAGTCTAGCAAGGCTGGGAGCTGGACACTGGGAAAGGGCTGAACAAACCCAAACCTGGGATCTGTGTTGGCCACAGTACCTGAACTGTTCTTTACATCTGAGGCAGAGCTGGAAACCTGATGGGCTGTGGCAGATGATCTATGGTTTGAACCACAGGCAGGTCTCTTGGTTGGAGCTGTTTCTCCATCATTCTGATGGAGCAGGGTCCTTGCTCACATTGCTGAACAGCCTCCTCTGTCTCCAGACTTGTTTGCCCACAGTTGTGAACAACCCCCAAATTACCCTGTGGGATGGATGTTGCCAGGTGAACATCACTTGCCACTGTTTACATATTTACTGGGGCATTTTTCCATTTCCTGCAGAAACCAAATCTTATCCTGAACGTGGATGGCTTCATTGGAGTTGCTTTTGTGGATGTACTCAGGAATTGTGGCTCTTTCACACGGTGAGTAGGCAGTGAGCAGCCTCTCTCAGGACATGGTCCTGAAAAAATGCTGGGAACTGAGCTGCCAGTGCAGGTGGGACCAGGATTTCAGAGGGACTTTGTAAAGGGAATGTAGCCTGGACTTGGGGGAAGGAAGCTTCCACATGGTGTTGCTACTGGCACTAGGATGGATTCCTTAAATAGATCATTGTGAGGAAGTATTTAATTTATTTTCTCTTGCAGGGAAGAAGCAGATGAATATATTGATATAGGAGCCCTAAATGGGATCTTTGTACTAGGCAGGAGTATGGGATTCATCGGTGAGTTCACCACATTCCTGCCCCTTCCCTCCTGCTGGGGGATGGAGGAGCAGCAGAAATTCTGTAACACTAAACCACTCTTGTTCTAGGACACTACCTGGACCAGAAGAGGTTGAAGCAAGGCCTGTACCGGCACCCCTGGGATGACATATCCTATGTTTTACCTGAGCACATGACGATGTGAGAACCTGCAGTGCTGCCTCGGGAGGTCCCTCAGCCTGCAGAGGGGGCAGCACGAATGGGACTGTGATGTATAAAGGCCTTTGGTACAGACACTGAGCTACCTGGGCAGACTGCACAGCAGCTGTTCTATAAGAATAGAAACTTACTCTAATAAAAACCAAAACTTGTGATATTCCATATGTTACCTGCTGTATTTAATACTGTCTCTCACCTTTTTTTTTTTTTTACTCTTTTTTCATTTTGTTTCCAGGAAAGACTTTAACGGTTTGGGTGGGAGGGTTTTGTTTCAAGTGCAGCTGTACTGAACTTGGGGAAGATCCATTATTCTGGTGATGAGCTGTAAGAGGGGAAGGTGTCCCTCGTTCCCTAAGCCGTGACTTGGGCCTTTGTTGCTGTTGTTTTTCAGTCTGTTACTGTGTTCTCATCTTCAGCCTTTACCCAGAACCCTGGGACCACTGCTGGTGTATAACCAATGTTACTCAAACTCTGCTGTAGTAATTTAAAGTGTAAAGTTGTAACATACTGCTGTTAAAACTGTGAAACTACGTGTGTTCTGGTGTCTGTATTTATGCAAACAACTGCTCATTTACTAGTAATTGCTGGAATATGGAATGTCACTTGTCAAAATAGCCTCACTAGTAACTTCAGTGTCCTACTTGTCTGTATTTTAACCGAACTCAAATAAATGATACACTACTAATTTACTTTTCTGCTTCTAAACTCACTCTAATGGGCTGTCTAATGGGGGTGGGACGAGCTGGGAAACAGTTTAACAAAACCCCAGCCCGGGAGCAGCTCCTCTGTCCTGGCGGGGCCTGATTGACTTAGGGGAGACAGAAACCTGGGCCCTCCCGGCCGGGCCCGGCGCTGCCGGCGGGAGCTGGAGCTGAGTGAAACGAGCGGTTATAGTTGGTGGAGCCCGACACCAGCGATAACCGGAGATAACCCGGTGCAGCTCCGAGCACAAGGGGCTGATCCCGGGGGTCCCTGCGCCCCGGGCAGCGCGGGGCGAACAGCGGAGCCGCTCCCGGGATCCCGGCCCC